TGAGTTCAATTCCATGTCGGGTCTGTAGAACTGTAAGACTGGACTCTGACTCAGCACCAAGTGTTTGGCTGCGTGTGTGAACCACAATCCTAAACCTACAGTGATGTCAGTGTGTTGCCCTGAGTGGTAATTACATCATTACAATGATCATCATATAGCACTAGTTAATAATAATGCTCTGTAATTAGTGGTGTGTGTGCGCCATCACATACAGTCTCCTGGTTTATATTTATTCACTCTGTCACACTCAGAGCTCAGGCCCAGCCATAACAGACTGCATGCTTCACCACAACTCCAAAATGTGTTGTTTTGTTTTAAAATCGTGTGATGTTTGTAAATGTAATGTTTGTTTGAGTTTGTTTTTTCTGACAGATGTTTGATTTTGCAAAATCAAAAAAGCAAATTCTGGAAACACAAATTTGTTACAGGACAGGAAACACCGAGGAAAATCAGCACAAAGAGTTTTTACAGAAAATCCTTTCCTGACGTGACAGTCCGTCCTGTGCAGTTGTGAACATTCCCACAGAGTTTTAATTATTCACTTAACAACGCCAAGGCAAGAAAACCCAACTCCCTACTCCATGTAGCAGCAGGTGTACAACTAAACAGGAATGTACAGTCATGTATAGGGTTAAAACATAGTGGCTGCGTTTACTTGACTGCTTTCACATTTTTGTAGTAAAACTGTTTTCTGCTTCATTATGCAAAACAGAACAGAGGTCAGGCTCAGATATTAGTCCTGCACAGACTCGCTTTCAAAACCTTTGGAGACATTTCGAGACTACCGTAATTTCCGGTCTATAAGCTGCTACTTTTTTCAGTGTGTGCGACTGATATTTAGGTGCACTCAATAGTTCAGTAATTACGGTATTTAAACCGTTGTCCGCTGTCATCAATGACAGATCTGTGTAACTCACTGCACTGACCTTTGACCTCCGAACACAACTGTCTGCTGCTTTGATCAACGAAAGGAGACAATTTCATTCTTTATCCGTGAAACACAACTCAACACCAACCGTAAATATATAGATATACATATGTATATTTATGTGTATATATTTATGTATATATGTGTATACATATACACACACACATATGTATAAATATATATATATACACATATTTACATGTATACATAAACTCACCCAACCATAACGTTGCGTTTAGGGACCATTTTTTTAACCAGTTAAAACCAGTTTTATACCTTGAATTACTTGTATAATGAGAAAAGATTTTCATTTTGAAATCACACAGATCAGTTCTTTGGCAAACGCCTGCAGTGTGATTGAGAATTAAAACAAAAATCTAAATATGTTGCATTGCATGATAATTTGTGGTCCTAAAAGTTTGTGTTTGCGCTCCTAAAATGTCACTCGAGAACAAAGATCTACATGTAAAACAGGGCGGGGGGGGGCGGGTAGTACTGGCAGTAGTTTCAGTGAGTTCTACAACGATTCATAAGATACAATACGAGCAGATGAAGATGAAGACGAGATCTTTGTCTGGGGTTTGGCTAAATAAATAATTCAGGCCAAAGCTACAACATCTGCTCAGTCAAGTCATCGTCTGAAAACAACATCGTTTCATTTGTGCTTTTTCTTTGTCATTTCATGGTGAAGAGAGAAAATTGGGTTTCCTCTCTGCACACGTCAGAATGATCAGGATGATGATGATGATGATGATGATGATGATGATGAATGGGTTTCTTATGCAATTACAGTGTAATTATTCAAACACGTAACAATGTGTTTTGATGTGAAATACTTTAAGAAAGCAGATGAGTGGATTGTGTAAATAAGCAGCAGCAACAAATGTCTTTGTAGAAGTTTGTATGAAAAGTGTTGATCTGCACTAAAGTGTGGAAGATGAAATAAAAGTATACCTCGTATTGATATTTTAAAAGAAAATGTTTGGTTTTTTTGGTGGCTTTTGTTGTGTTTCTAACAAATAACCACGAGAGAGAACGAGCCAAGAATCAACAACGGACCAAAATCAGCGGAAAATAACGGTGGACTCCAACCACGTGGACGACCACAGTTAGAGGCTTTTCATCTCCAGAGGAAGAAGACGTGACTTTTGTCCATAGATTCATTAAAATCAGCAGAAACGTGACCGGGAACTACAGGCGCTTTGGTTTTAATAAGACGTCTGAAAACACGGAGGGAAACTTTGTTTGGCATTTTCAACGTGCATCGTGTCTCTTTTGTTGACTAATTACACAGACTGTGTCCAACATTGGTGTAGTCACTGCGTTGGTGTGTGTGTGTGTGTGTGTGTGTGTCATTATCACAGACTGTGCAGAGAAAAGCTGTGCCATGAGTCACTTATTTTAACACAAGTTACATAACGTACGACTGAGCAGCAACTCTGGAGGAAATTGTGTGATGGCAACGTGACGGCCGGGTGTTTGTGTACGTGAAGCTGTCTCTGCTCTGAGCCGTGTCCTCCGACGGTACGTGTAAACACACCTGACGATGAACGTGACGAGCGCCGTCTGTTTCCTCAGACTTCACACCTGTGTTTTGGCTTCTTCTATTTTTGTTTGTAAATGAGGAAAGTTTTCTTATAACTTTAAGAAAAACATTCATGTTGAAAAAAATCAAAATCAGATTTTGATCTAATGACTAAGCACATACTCCTGTAGACCAGCCAGGGGGCGCACTGCACTGAACCAGCTTTTCATGGCCCAAGATTTATCATGTTCCACAGGGAAAAAAAAAAAAAAATCAACCAACAACCAGTGAATCATACGTGTCCTGGTTTTACTGTCTCTCCTGGGGTTCACCGCAGACATTGCGTCACACCCTGTTTTTACTATGAAGTCAAAAGCAGCACTGACGTCCAGTGGGGGAGGGGGTCAGGGAGGGTGGGGCAGGTGAGGCAAGTCTCACATTAAGTTAAAAAAAAAAACATTTTAAAGGTTCCAAAATTATTGGGATTTTTGTAGCCAGAATCCCATAACTGTGGGTGAGGCCGCTGCGATCCCGACGTGCCTCACCCACTGCACTCCCTCCTCTGGGTGTGTCCACAACTGTTTCTCTTCATCAGAGACAGGCAGATGTGTTTTATGAAAATCATTTTTATAGAAACGTTTATCACAGACCCTGACCTTCAACTTCTCGCTCCAATGTCTTTGATACACACGTGTGAAATATTAAGACTCGCTCACGTCTTATCACCGCAAAAGACAGTTGGAACAGTACTGTTCAACACCAAAGGGGGCAGACTTGAGCCTAAGTTATGTGTTGCATTTGTTCAAACTACAGAGAAAATATAATTTTAAACATTACAATGAACAAATAATAATAATAATGTATAACAATAATAATAACTATTTTAGGCTAAACTAGCAATATTCTTGCAATCAATTCTGCAAATTGTAATATTGTCAACCAGGCTGACTTTGTAAAAGGTGAATATTAGAAACACAAAAGTGGGAGCAAAGTTTGTGCATATTGAGAAAATAAAAACAAGAAAAAAAACAACAACAATGTATAAAAGTTCTCCAAAGTTCTGCACCACTCAGCAGAATTTTCATTTCCTGCAACTGAGAAAACTGAGCAGAATCAGAAACACACACACACACACACACACACACGTACATGTGCACTCCTGAATCTCATCTTAGAATAAAGCAGTATAATAACCCTGTAATCTGTGCTGTGACCACAGGTTCACTGGGCAGCAGATGGAAAATATCCACAGGAGCAACAATTCTCTGCATTATTTCTTGCAATTTTTCTGACACGGAAATAATTATGTGGAAATCATTTGCTTTTGTATTCCAACAAAGAAGCACAAATATCTGCAAAACCTCAGAGAAACTAAAAAATGTCATCCTTGAAAAGTCTCAGATTGAACAGATGTTTTTTTTTATCTCTACTTTGGTGCATTTTTACACCAAAGACATCAGACGACGCCTCTTGTCACAGGATTTGACCCCAAACTTCAACTCACACTGACGCAGAGCAAAAGCTTTTTTTATAAAAACCATGTAGTAGAGCGACAGCTGGAGAACGCAGCAGGAGAGAGAGAAGAAATCAGTGCCAACCAGAGACGCTGTAATCCTAATGGGCCACTGTAGTCGACTGGAGACGGAGTAAATAAAACATTAGAGCTGGTGTCATGTCACTTCCACTGCGGCCTCAAACTGCTGTGTACCATAACTCAGTGGGTGTGAGAACACCAGGCTGACGCTCCACTTGGTCCACAGTGGGCCACGCAATCCTGGCTCATCCATATTCATGACCCTATCGCTGCAACGCCATGTTCTGCTGGGATGTTTTCTGCGGCGGCGATCTCTTCTCCTTCACTCACTGCATTAGCAGAGGTAAGCGCACTAATTATTCCGAAACACCTGAAGGGGCAGCGGTGAGCGTCACAGCCATGGTTCCAGGTGAACGGTACATTAGACGTTACAGTTTCCAGTATCAGACCCTGAACCACTGTATTATTATGAGGAGTATTTGTGGAAAATGTCGAGGTGAAAACATGTCTGCAGCTGACATTTGGAAAAAGAACAAAGGTCACAGGGGTCGCACGGAGAAAAGTCTCTTCCACAGAGTCAGTCTTTAGCAATTTGCTGCAGTAATTTAATAAGGATGAATAAATCATAACAGTTATTTAATATAAGCACTGGAACTGGAATTTATTATATATTATATTATAATATATTAAATTATATTACAGCCAAAACAAATGACCTGTAAACAAAGTAATAAAATGTTTAGCAGCAAATTACAAGGCAACTTCATTTCAAAATTAATATTTTCCTTTTATCACAATGTTAATAAATTTTAATTTGTTTTACTGTTTTGTGGGAATTGCAGTTTGAAGCAATGGCTGTGGATGTGAGGACAACAATAGA